CCCTTCCCTTCCCTTCCCTTCCCTTCCCTTCCCTTCCCTTCCCTTCCTTTCCCTTCCCTTCCCTTCCCTTCCCCTTCCCTCTCCTTCAGGGAATAAGCAGCAGTCTTGGCCCAAACTGAGAAAAATCAAGTGGTTATTCACCTTACCATCAGAAAATAACTGTATTGTTTCTCATCAGTTTGAATATGCAAATACCATCATATTTACAGCTGATTTTATAAAGCACAGTCTATACCAGCTCCTCCTCTGGATAAGGCACCTTTCTGCTGCTGTGAGAACATACACTGCCCACAGCAAAAGGGTAAAGGGGCTTACAGTCCATCACGGTGAGGCAGGCATGGTGGCTGGAGCAAGAAGCAGTCAGGATGCCCACAGATCACATTTCATACCTGCATAGGAAGGAGAGAGAGAGGTGGGACCGGGGACTCAGAGGCTATAAAACCTCAGAGTCCCCCAATGACTTACTTCCTGTATTAACTGACCTCATCCTAAAGTTTCCATTATCCCAAACAGTGCCACCAGCTGGGGACCAGTGTTCATACAAAAGAGGCCATGGGAGACATTTCTTGTTCAAACGACAGCATCTTCTCCCTAAATAACACTCACATATGTTGCATCTATATGAGGACATATACCCTTATATATCCAAATGTATGAAATATATATAAAACTTCTCTTTACTAGGCGTGTGGTTTAGGGCAGTTCATGAACACCAGTGCCTGCCTGGATGAAGCAGGGATGAATGACTTTGAGAGACCCTGCCTGGAAAACACCATCCCACAAAGCCTCCATCCTTGTCCTCTTTGCTCTCTGCTTTGGAAAACCACACCACAAAGTAACTGAATATTAAAATAAGCACCCCTTCCTTCTCAGCAGGAAAAATTATTTTTAAAATTATTTAAGGAATCTGTGTTGGCTATCTGTAGATACCGGGCAGCTTATACAATAGAACTAAAAACAAGCAAACGGAAAAGCACCTTCTTTGGAGAGAGCAACCTCGTCTTTCCCCTCACAGGAGGCCAGCGCTTACCAGACGAAACATGTGGCATTAACACTCTCCTTCCCCTTCCCGAGAAACCATCCTGCTGTGCTCCTTGGCTTTAACCCTGGTCATATTAACCCTGATCACTGAGTTAACTACAAAGAGCATGAAGAGTAGTTCCCTGCCCTTTAAAGACAGACTAAAAATGTGTGTATCAGATAGCATCCAGGGACACCTCACAATGAGATAGTCTTAGGGAAAGGGCCATAACAGCAGGGAACAGAACATGGCATAAATGAGCAAACGGGAGGGAGGGAGTGATGAGTACAGAGTGCCAGAGCACCAACCCTGCACAGGACTCGGGGTGACGGGGGTTCAGCCATCTTCCACCGGTCCTGTCTACTTGAGAATCCCTTTCCCTGGTGACCCTTTATCTGTTTCTCTGGTAGCATTTCTGCTTCCATGCCGGGCCTCCCATGTCTTTCTTTTTAATTCCAGCTGTGGCCAACGTCGTTGATGAAAACGTCAGCCTGTGCAGGAGGCTGATCGTTCTCGTGGCGCAGGGTGATGGCTTTCTGAAGACCATGTCTGAAGAACAAATCGCGGTCTACAATGCCCTCATCCAGGAAGGCATGAAGGTGATTCTGATCGAGCTGGAGAAAATTCGGGACTACAGCACC